CTTCATGCCTCATTTACAAACCTACCATTCATTTCTCATATATGCCTCATTTACAAACCTACCATTCATTTCTCATATATGCCTCATTTACAAACCTACCATTCATTTCTCATATATTTACATATACACCTTTTTTCTATGCATGCAAAGATATGAGAGATATAAATGTAAATAAAGCGAAATATAGGAGTTAAGGTATAAATGAATATACAATCACAATTTGATTTAATTTTGCAGGAGCTGGTTAATGAAGAATGCAATAAATGGCAAACGAAGGGGAGGAACATTCACTACGTGAGAAGGGAGAACAGAAAGGGATACAAAGCGGGTGCCCTAAAAGATGGAATGAAGGTGGAGTATGCACAGCTATGTGAATATGTCGCCATGTTTGATGCAGATTTCCAGCCGGAGCCTGATTTCCTCATTAAAACCATTCCATTCCTCATCCACAACCCTAGGCTTGCTCTTGTTCAAGCTCGATGGAAGTTTGGTGAGTATAAATATACATATAAGAAAAAATTTGTTGTTGCAAAATATAATTTAACTTTAATGCAATATATGAGACATAAAAAATGGAAATTGGATTTTTAAGAATGATTTTCTGTGGATTCATGCAGCATTATTAGCTGTGCTTTTGTCTTCTAATCACACTTTGTACAAGATTATTATAAATATTATGAGTGCGTTTAGAGGAGTGGTCTAAGTAGCGATGCGATGACATATCGTACTTTTTGGTGTTTGGCAAAATTGAGTTTTGTCTGTTTTCTTAAAAAATTGTGTTTTGTAGCTGAACCTAGCCAAGTGCGGAGACTATTAGAAAACCATGGTCTTATTTTTTTTTTTACAAAATATGTTATAACCATAACAGGTTCTTCTACTGTAGCTGCACAATCGTTCATTCAAAAAGCTGTAACTGCCCCAAATAGATCCTAATAACTCTATGAATACAAATTTCAATCAATTTTTATAGAAAAATAAAGCAAAACTTAAATTCTCGATAAAAATGTGACTAAAGAGGAGAACAAGAAAGTGAAAACAAAAAAATATATTTTTTCATCATATTTTATAACATGTGACTAAAATAATACAATTTTTGCTACACTATTTTAAGAACATGGCTATCAAGTAGAAATTTTGGTGTTAAATTAAATATTAAAACTAATTATTCTGTTTTAAGAACTTGGATAAGATACATTTTTTAGTTAAAAAATGTTTATTTTCTAGTGATTATAGCATTCTAATTAAGAAAGTATGGCTTTGAAAAATATTTTTGGTCATTTTTTCACCAAATTTAACTAACAATTAATTAAAATAAGTGTACTTACAACTAAAATTACAATTGAACAAATAGGAGTGTTATGCAAATTGTTAATCACAATAAAATTTTGAGCTTGTGATAATAGTTATATATGATTGACTGATAAAATTAAAATTATGCTATACTTTATGATTGCAGTGAATGCAGATGAATGCATGATGACAAGGATGCAAGAGATGTCTATGGATTACCACTTTAAGGTGGAGCAGCAAGCAGGATCAACCTCTTGCAAGTTCTTTGGTTACAATGGTAGGTTTTTTTTTTTTTTTTAAGGAATTTTTATTATTTGACTGCAGTGATTGTCATCAAATTTATTTTTAAAGGTTTAGTTATTATGAAATTAAATATATAAATATAAATTTGATGTATTTAAAGTTTAATCCTGTAAAATTAATAATAACTCTAAATTTTTATCTACTAAATTAAGTAACATTCATGTTGAGGTTGAAGCTATCACATTTGTTCTTTTCTAGACATTTTTCTCACTATGTCAAAATTGGAGATATGATTTAAAGTTATCATCACTGAGTCACACTTGCTTATTTTACATTGAGTCTCTGTATTAAATTGATATTCATTACAAACTATTGATTTTCCTTTTTTTTTTTTGACATATTTTTTGTATCTATAGAAACTGTATAAAGGGTCAGCAAAATTGATACATTATTATTATTCTTAATTTTACCTTCAATGTGGTATATACTAAAGCAACATCACTCTTTTGAGTCCTTTCTCTCTCCCGTGGTCAAACTCTTTTGTGGCATTTCCTCCAACCCCAATGAACACATTATCCTCTAGTCATTCAACAAATCTCTCAATCACACATAGCCATCAACTCGAACAGACAAACTAAGCTTACTGCCTCCAATTACACCTCATGGTGATTCAAATTTCATACAACTCTCATTAGATATGATCTCATGAGACCTATTGAAGGATCCTACGTCTCTACCATTAAAGATAGCATTAAGAATTTGCCTCACCAAATTGGTCATCTATGCACAAAAAAATTGTCACTTAGCTTCTCTCTATTATCTATTGTCTGACTCAAATTTATATCAAAATTAATTTTAATTTATGGTAAGTCAGGAAAACTCATAATGTTCCATTCCATTCTTCATCTAATAATAGTTGGCAATTACTTTAATTAACTATTATATTTGACTGTGCAACGTTTCTTTGTTATCTCTTATGATTGTCTCCAAAAAAAATTGTTTCTGTCAACTATATTGCTTATTATGTGTGGCTCAACCCTCCATGCCAAAAGTCAAAATATTATATCATTTTCATCCAATTCAAAAACTTTAGTTGAAATTAACTTTCTGTTCACAATTTAATCCATATACAGTGATAATGGTGTTTAGTTCTTCTCCCACGAATCATTTCGCATGCACAATATATCATTTAACAGTTCTTCAACATACTCTATAACATAAGAACCAACTAAATGTTGTTACATCATAATAATTTCAAATGCATTTATGCTACTTCATCATGCTCATCTCCCCTCACCTTTTGATTAAATGCCTTCTCCACTGCAACAAATTTTATTAATTGCATGTCTACACCAATACTCTCCATGAAATCTTCATTCCAAAAAATATATGATCAAACTCCAAATTACATTAAACAATAAGTTCTCAAAAGCTTATATTACCCCCCTATAGGTAACATGCATTAGATCCTCATTCATTTCATTGTGTATTTTTGGAGTATGCACTCAATTAAAGTGTTTACATATGTTATGGCATAAAAAACAAAAAGATAATCATATCCCATCATGTGCAATTTATCAAAACCAAATTTCTTTCCCTCAATGAAAAATTTAGCATTCCTTCCTCAATGAAATTTGACCAGAGATTCATCCATTTGCTCCACCTCTGACAGATATTTTGAAAATTCAAAATCAATCATCTAATCACCATTTCAAAGTTATCTCCATACAAATTTTTCACCACTGCATACAATTTCACCTTCCAAAAAAATAAAAAAAGCTCCAATAAATGACAAATTAACTCATTATGACAAACTAAACATTTTATCAAAAAATTTGTAACCTTGATTGCTATTTAACTTGTCTCTCTCTAGTATTCTCAAACTCTCATTTTATCTTCCCATTAGTTATTCCTCTCAACTCTATTCTCCCATGTTAAAAGTCCCAAAATACCCCCTAAATAAATGTTTGTGCCCCACTTCCATCATTTGCCATCGTTTGGACTTCCTAGTTTTGAAACCACCACTATGAAAATTAGCTAAAATTTGACATGTCTAGTTTACATACAGCTCATGGTCCCCATAATATTTGTCATTTAAAAAAATATATCTTATTTAATATAATAAATCATATAACATTACTTCTGCTATTTACTCCCCCTTGAGCTCCACACCCAAGTTTACCCTCAATTTATGATATAAATCATGTTATGCCTCGAAATCTCAATACATTCTTGGTGCAATATTATTCTATTTTTGCATTAAAATCACCCCAATAAGTACCACATACACCCTCACAATCTTATCCTATCTTAGTGATAAATTTGCCTTTGTGGATCCCACCACTTTACTCAAAGTTTTCCAATAAAGAAATTACTTTTTGTTGCCACTCCTCTGTCTCAAATCTAACAAAGTGTTACATGAAACTTGATTATCCAAAAAATTTTAATTTTGATTTCCAAAATTACATCCTCCAAATTTTCTATGTTAGTTCTACTCCTCCACATAATAGATGTACCTTTGAAACTAACCTTTTATAATTCATGAAAACACTTCATCTTATCCACCTTCTCAATCTCTAACCATCAACAAAATAACCACATGAAACTATGTATGAAATTAACATCTAAAAGTTTTTTCGAAAAAGAGTCCCATGACATATCTTTCATCTATTTCTCTTA